GTAATTGCGAAAACCAGCGTTTAGCCAAGAACCAGTGTAAAATTAAACGCATTCTTTTCTGAATTGAATATTCTATTAGAATAAATTTATTGTTCCACACACATACGTACATTGTGTATATGTGTTTGTGTAACTTCTACGAGCATTGCTGTCAAGTTCCTCGGCAGAAAAAACAGGAGAAAAGGAGAAATGTGAATAATTTATTTAAACAGTTTCCTTAAACCTATGCAGTGGCACAGTGACTATTGGAAGAACGCCAGTCCGAGACACAGTTATTTATTTGTTCTCTATGAAACACAAGCCAAAGAATTTTTATCCTCTTGTTATCACGATTATTTCTCTTAAAAATTTGTTATTACTTTTTTGTGTCTAAACCAGCTTCTTACGCAAGGTTGTACAAAAAACCTAACGTTTGTGCTTTCCATTTATTGAATGCAATTGGTTCGGATCGAAAAGTGAACAACGTCAATCGGTGTTAATATTTTGTACTATTTTATGCCAATAAGAATGAGTTATTAAGCAACCTCTTGTGCTTATTTTCGATTGTGATTTCATATTGATGAATTAATAAAACCTCTCGTTTTACCTGTAACAGGTTAGGGTTTATTCCGTAATAAGTTTATTGCCTTATATGTATTGGCTTCTGTACCCTCAATCTATCAGATCAGCTAACGAAGTAATTCCGTGATTCGAATTCGTCGTTGCTGGCATTTTAGTGTTGTTCAGGTTGTTAAGAAATTTCCTGTTTTGAACCCAAAATATTGTAGCTGTGTTTATAATATCCGCCTATGGATCATATGCTAAGAATCGTGTTCACATCAGCACTTTCACAAGTGACAGAATAATTCATCTTCTGGCGATGACATTTCATAAATTAAATTCATATAATTCTTCCTTTAGTGACATGCCTCATGCAAATAGGAGTGAAGGGACAATTTTAATAAAAATTCCCTCTTACTCCACGTTTTCAGAGAAAATAACTGTACGGTATTTTTAGCTTTAAAATTCGATAGTGAGCGATCAATCCTGAACACTACGCGTGTGTGAGACGGTAAAACCTTAATTATACAAAAATTAATTAAGTCGCCTCTTTGAATTCCCACACTTTTTAGCCCGTTACACTGTAAAGCATAGCACACGAAGTACACTAAATTCTTGTAAGAGAAAAGAAACTGTTTCTCGAATAAGCACGACAGAAGTTACTTTAAGTCTGCAATCTTTAAAGGTTAAAACGGACATTTATTCTGAAAGTTTAAATTCTTCCGGCCTCGGCTTGGGTTCTCGGTAGTCGAATTCCGGTCAGCCGACAATCATTCATTGTTATAGCTCCAGTCATTTCTGGAAAATTACAGTAAAATGTGAACACTAAACAGGTTAGTTAACCTAGTAGCCCATCAAAGTGTACCTAGTTTGAATCCCAGTTATGTCATTGGCTATCGTGACAAACGCTTACGTGTTTTTCTTCAATCCCAAAAGATTCATACCGGTAAAATATGTCTCGTCGTTTTCACCCTGAGACTTTGTTAGTTCCCCGATTTTTGCCTTTATTCGATACCAAATAACATCTTCAATTTGTTTAGCATTGTTAAATAATCACGAGCAAAGCCATTAAATGTTGTTGTAATTTAACATCTCTTTTCTACTCAAACTGCACGCCAATTATGTCAGTTCTACGCATTAATTTCCTTGTCTTTCGAAGTAATGGTCGGCTGCTTCATTCTCGCGTTGAACTTACGCCCATTTAGTATTGAGAGACAAATGTGAGAGGTACTTTTCCTCAGAAATTGCCCGCAATGTACTGCGATATAGTGCATGACGAGTTTTATATGTTCCCGAGGGATGTGCTGCTTCAGTTGTGTCATCGTAAAATGCCAAGTGCGGTGTGGGGACTCCTGTGACAGCATCTTTTAACATCGCTTGAAACAATTTTGTTATATATTCACTTACATGCTTCTTACTCCTTTTTTTAGTTCGTTTATATCCAGAGTTTAAATATCTCCCCCACTCCATACTCTGTTGATACGAAATTGACAGCAGGTAGGTTATTAATTGGTAAGTTCTTAAATTATTTTTTCTGATAACAGCATTCACTGTAGATGACCGTCTTCTGGGATACTGCGCGTGTGAAGATAAGAAAAACGATTAATATACAATAATCTGGAGCAGTATTTACATCACATGAAGATTTCCAAATTATGATTTTTTGTAACTTAGAAGGTTTATTATTATTATTATTATATGCATTATAAATAAGGTTACAAATATATATAATTCACATGGAGGATACATATGGCGAGATTTGGCTTAATGTTAATGATTGGAGTTAAATTCATATTTTCTAATTTGGAAAATAATACGTGCAGTGTTTTTACCAGTCCTTCAATTATTCAGTCTAACTAACAACGAAGTTACTGTAGAGTATCAGATAAAGGTAACATTCTTTAATATTTTCCCATTTTCGTCTCGGTTTTCTGAGAGGTTTCTCACTAAGAGAATCTTCAGAATTGCAGGTTACGCGTTTCTTGCCTACTACATCCAGATAACGTGTCGAGACCATCTTTACGTCTTTGATTTATATACAGGAACGATTTATTTGAATATTTTTTTATAAATCTATGAATCGTTGGTAAACTTCCACCAGACTGCACGGCGCAACAACCCATGAGACAGCCATCTTCGGATTCACCGCCGTGAAAACCTCAAATCCTTCTATAGTTCTATTTGCTTTTCTGTTTGTATTTTCATTGCTCGCAAAACGATTTTAATCCAGTTTGTATGTTTTTACGTAAGGACTTTAAGCCGAAAGGTTCGATGTTGCCAGTGCCTCAAAAGTGTCACGGTTGCTATGTTACTATGCATGACGGGGACGTAGGAACATTTTGCAGATTACCTCGGCTTATACGAATTCACCAGTTTCTTGAAAGTTGGCCAGTTCACCCAAACGTTACACAGAGGGCATGAGGCATCTAGCAAGGTTGTTTCTCATTTTGGAAACCACCGGTCGGGATTTCATTACCCTGTCCCTAAAGTAAATATACGTGAATTACAAGGACATGAAAGGAGGCGGTCATGGAGAACTGTCGATGCTATGCGGTGGAGACGCACAGCTGTGACTGCGCCCACGAACGGGCACTATTGCTGTGCTAGTACCAGCTGATCGCGAGATTACTGCACTGAACACGCTGCACCTGTAATGAAATGGCGAATAGGGAAGACGCCAGGTGGTCCTCAGCTCGGGTTCATCTGATCAACTTGCGTGTCCGTCCCTTCTTTTCCAGATGTTATTCTAATAATACCTCAAACAACAGTCGAATTCGCCCATCATGCCATAGAAATTGTGTACACCACCAACCAACATGGCATTTCCTACTGTATAGGGAATTGCTTGCATGCGTAAGATAAATTAATTTCATAAGTCTTGTTCCCTTCCTTAGTTAAGTTTACGTCTTCATAACTTATATTACTCAAAGGCCCGTTTCGATATTATCCTTCCATATTTCTCAAGTTGTCTCATCCAGAACCTATTCTCTATTTTAAAAAAGTGCACGGAGTTCTAATTCTCCAATCCGTTATATATTTTCCGATCAGTTCGTCTGTATTGATTTATGAAGAAGAAGGCCTTCTGGATTGTTGCGCTGGGGAAAATGTGCATATTGTCTCCATCTTCAGGGCCCTGATGATGGAGGCAGAAAGCACCTCTGAAACATCCCAGACGCCATAAGAACCTGAAATGTCACTGTGTTCCTTTAGTCCTCTTTAAAATAACAACGTTGTGGTAGTAACTTACAACAGTCCATGGCCCCATTTTTCCACTTCGCTCCCGTCTCGGTATTTTGTTGGACGAAGCATAGCCTCAGCAGGCATCCCTAAAATAACTGTATTATGTATTATTAATGTGCTTATTATATGATAATCATAGAATTTTAAACAAGCGAGTTATCTATTTTCGTTCACTGTTACTTATTCTACTCAGGTATTATCCTTAATGCTCTGTTTTCGTAGAGGGTGTACCTCCAATTTTTTTTCTTTTTCAGCGAGGAGCCTAATTTGATACCCTGATAACTCAAATACCTGTTTAACACAGTCGTATAGAAACTAATATTCCCTAAACTGCTCAATAAATTCCTTGTCTTTTTTTTTTTAATGAATCCTGATCTTAACTAAAGTTTACCGGTGGTCACACCCTGAGACGGTCGAATACTGTTTAACCAGGCATGACACACTCATAGCCCTCTTCTACATTTTGTACGGTTCCAGTCAGTCCTACAGTTATACGTGATGTACCGATTTCAATAAATTTCGAGTTTTAAATTCTGGATGAATAGCTGCTTGTGTACCGCTGTTAATAATTTTAATTAAATAGCTTAAAATAAAGCGAAAATTTGTTTAAATGAATTTCAGATTTGTGTACGCTTGTGAGAAATACAGGAAGGAAAATATATCTCAATCTTAAGCTCGGAATTAATAAAATTGGGCAAAATTCATTTTCTCACCCATGTGACAGGCCTCGGAACAGTCACGTCCTTTTTAAGGTCTTCAAGCAGACACCGAATTTGACGTGCTTGGTCTACACTCTCAAACTTTATTCAGTTAACAACCACTTATATATGGGAGGATAGCCCATCTACATCTAGGTCTGCAAAATTATTTATATGTACTAAAATATCGCCTGAATTTTCCATCGCCCAGCACGCTGTCGCCTCCAACTCCATCCGTCTTGAATTTATCACAATAACAATTAGTTAAATTATTTGTTAGTTTTTGAAGAGGGCGAGAAAGTGAAATATTTCTCATTGCATTTATTGAGTTCATTTCGTTCTTAATTTCATCCTAAGTATCAGTTTTAGTAGTTACTGCTGCCCTAAATTACACAAACCTTACAAATTGTAAGTATTAATCAGAAATTGCTGTCACAATTTTGATTTTACTGTTGCACGTACCAAGACATGGGTCCTATTCAACGGAATTTGTTCGCAGACAGTTGGACACCGGAGGCTGAAGCCACGACTTGTGTGCGCAAAGTCGCTTAGTCATCATCTCGCAACTCGCAGATTGGACGCGGCGTCGCAACGCCCGTGCAGTTTAGTCGGCTCGCGGCCTCCGACCGTAGCGGATGTCTTCACTTCGACGTCGGTAATAAGCCGACGGAAGATTACGTTAATTTAGCGACAAGTGTTTGTTTTGGCGGGCGGAGGATCGTCTGTATCAAAGATATTGAAAGGTAAGATTAATTCGAATTTTCACTTTATGCATTTATGTAATCATGTCTTCAGATTTCGTACTTGCTTAAGACGGTTAATATAAATAACCCATTTCATTTATTTCAATGTTATAGCAATAACGAAGACAATGTGTTCAGTAAATATCTTGCGGTTTGGTCGTAATTTTACAAATACCACTATAGAAACTTCATTTTATCGTACGCATCCCTTCCTCAATTACAGAATATACACGCAAGACTATTCTGTCCTGTTCAGTATTAACTTACGCACATTTTGTGAGCAGTTTAACTTATGTCTTTTAAAATGCAAATACTCGTAAACACACAGTTGCACGATTTGCAGTCATGTGTGAAATATCTTTGCAGAATTTCAGGTTAAAATGTCGTTTTCTATTTAAGGTAAGTGAGCCGGTTTAGTAACAATTGAGTGGGCGTTCTCTCCCATTCTAGATTTTAATTAAAATTTAGAGCAAGACACCTGCCAGTCAAAATGTGACAAAATTAGATACGATGATAACGAATTTAGACCATTTGCTTTACTTAGTGGTAGTTCAGGACCACATCAGTGGAGTCAGAATATTTTAATTAGTGTTTCCTTTATTGCGGTCCATGGTTTAGAAAGCTCATTGCTTCAGGACATCTTGAATAATTCAAATAACGTGTTACTTCCTGACACCTGAGGGCGAAAAGTGATCCACTCTTCGAAAAGTTGTGTGTTTTTTGCAGGTCCAAAAATTCAGCAGTCCAAATTATGTGTTGCTTGTCCGATTACATGTTGATGAAAATTATAATTGTGTACAATTATCCTAATTACTACTGTCAATTGCACTAATTGCCTCCGATGTAAGCAAGAGGCTTATTATTTCTGGATTAGTGAACTTTTGCTATCCTCTGGTATTATGAAAAGAACACGGACGGAAACGGATATGGTTTCTGAAACTGTATTATGTAAGAATATCGGACAGTGGACAGAGTCCAAAAATACGGCATTAATTGTAATATACCTTGGTGAGAAGCCTTTAGAATTGAGAAACGAGTGTCTCTTATTAAAGAGCTGCTGTTCAGTTTCGCACTTTTAAATTTCCGTTCAAAATTAAAATTCGGGCAGTTTGGAAGAACATAATGCGTTTGTTGAGGACACAGTTTTCTGTACTGAGGACACATCTTAGTAAACGACTAATTGAAAATGTGTCGGGTGCACACACTGTCCTAATTGCAGCAAGAGTTAACAAAGAATTAATTTGATACGTAGAAAATATTTTGATAAATATTTTAATGTGGGACCTTGCCCCGAAATTGTATCAATTCTTTGAACTTTTAATTACATTTTAATCGCTTTCTTTATATAAATAGTGTAAAATAAATTATTTAATAAGTAACATTCTGAAAACTGTGTGTCAAACTGAATTGACATCTGTGCGATGTATTATGAAACATAACCACTACAAAATGACGCCTAGGCATATAATATTTTTTTACTTCGCAAATTTCTACAGACTAAGCACTGTTTATATGAACTTAGCCCAGACACATTTATCAGGCCGATCTAGAGTGCGGTTACCGTGAAATTAAACTCCTCGCCCCGGTATTGTTGAAAACTTGACAAACCCGATTAATTAAATGCGTGGATTAAGTTGCAAAAGGAGGGCATGAGTTGGTACTTCATTACGAAATCAGCAAAATAAAATCTGAAACAGTAACTGCTTGAATTCCAATTCAGTACCGAGCATGTATCAGAGTTGTTTCCTTTTGTTAGTGAGTCAATGTATTTAGTGTCATTTTAAATTGTAACCATTTGTCAGATTTTAATATGACAAAGTTTAATTCCACTTAATAACTATTCAGCGGAAACCTGCTTATCTCTCGAGATTCTCTTCCTTATTGCAAGTTTAGAAACACCTGCTACCTCGACAGTCCTAAGATAAGAAGCTCACGGACACGATTATATCGAGTGGATCATGCCAAAATGGCGAATCAACAAAATTACTGATTTACAGGGGACTCAATTCTTTCGCTCATTTTGTTTTAGAAATGTGCATTACTACGCCCAGACGTAACTGCCTGTATCTCAGTGCGGAGAAACCCTTCTGGCCGTACACACAGTCCACAATTTTATGTTTCAGACACAATAAGAGTGACTCCAATTATGTACATATGTTGATACGCCCTCATGGCATGATGCCCCAAACATATTCTGGGTTAAAATGGGTTGTAACTGGAAAAGTGGGTCTCGTAGAGAAGACGGCCTTCATATAAGGAAGACAGACGCGAATATTTTGAAAAATGTGATACAGACGGGCGACAAGGGGTGTTTCTGTAGCTTTGAGTTTGCTTAGGTGCTTAAAACCTGTCATCGTGAGTAGAAACTAACATGTTACGAAATCTCGGTGTTGGGCGGACGCAGTCTTTTGTGAAAGAGAACCCGACTTAAAAATATTATGCAGGGCTTCGGTTGTTGAATTAACTGAGTCACAATACTATCGCAGTTCAGTAACCGTTCAGTTATCAGTGACAGTGATTTGCCTCTGCGAAGTTCACAATTTTAATCATATTTTGTACAGCGTGTCACTCGTCAGTTACCGCATTTCACCCTCCACACAAGCCCGCGTTCTACAGTCATCATAATAGGCATGTGGGCCTAATGCTTTCGTTTGAAAGAGAGTTCTTTGTGTAATTTTGAACTTTTTATAATCTTTGCGGTTTTGAGGTCCAAGGTTATGTCACTCTTCCTTAAATTGTGAGTTCAGAGCAGAATAGGTAAATCTTGTTTTAAGGAAAATACGTAATGATAAACATGACTGGAAAGTTGTAGGACTATTCTTTGGAGTGCACTAAAATTCGGCTTTTCTTCACGCTACTTCACGTAGGTCACTTTTGTACTATGGACCGAGGATATTGTCGTTCGTTAGGCCATTGGTTCACTGATACGACCATCGGCCATGTAGGTTGTCTGTTCGGATTTGTCACACATTACAGACATGTTCAGGCCCATAAGGTGTTTTTCGCTCACGCTAGAACGAGAAGAACGCCTGATTCATCTCTTATACTGCAGAGTCCTGTGCCTTGTCTGAGTAGGATTTAGGAAAATTTCCTGATTCCAAGAAGCAAATGCTCGGCAAGGTAATGGAGAAACATGAGCTTTCCTGGCATGGCATGAAGAAATCGAAATGTTATACCGTTATTTAGAAAATTTAGGCTGTTCTGAATTATAACTCACGTGCAATGTGGTAATGTGAACAGGACTGTGTTTTGTTACTTTTAATATGTTTTTGTACATTAAATTACGTAGTTATAAACGCAGGCCTTGGTGGGGTTATTTACGTTTAGTAATTTCTTGGTGACACACTCATAAAAAAATTTCTAACTCTTTCATTTCAGATTTATAATGTAAGGTTCTGTGTACTTCCATATTATTTAACACAAAATGACATTTTAGGAGAAATTTGCGGTCAGATTATTCGCTGATTACGAATCCCAAATTTTAAATATTAGTAGCCGCTACTGTGCAGTGATACAGGAGTGCTGCCTTAAAAATGGTGCGTGGTAATGGTTCCTTGCAGTTGATCGCGAACCCCTTTGCCTAACAGCAGGACATAATGAGGGTCTGACACTTGCATTAGAGGAGCATAATCGCCCTGGAGAGCTTTGCGCTTTGGAAGTTCTAATGGCTGTGAATATGGCATTTGGGAAGCTAATACAAATACACTCGTATGCATGTTTACAGTAGTCAAGTTACACAGGAGTGCACTCTGATATCTAATTAATTTTCCTATTATCCCATAAACAACGATGAAAGAAAATAGTTCTGTGTAACATCCTCCCATGCAATTGTTTACAAAGCGAATACAGTACTCGTCATAAGGGACGGTGGAAGACAGGGTGTATAACAACTTGATACCCTTTCCACTGGTGTTACTCTTCACAGTAAAGTGAATTCTTCTGTTAACTTCGGCATCTCGCTGGCCTGTATCAGGTGTGTAAAACATTTAACCTGCGGCCTGCGTTGGAAACGCCGCTAATCTTTATGCACAACCCTAAGAAAAACTGTTTTGTTGGTGTGCGAGTGAGGCTTGACTTCCTAGTCAGCCACCTTTGTACGCCGCATGGAATTGGTGGTCCCCAAATTTGAATTGCTCTTGGGCATGAACGAGATGAAAGCCCAATCGGTGCCTGGCGGTAGCCTGTAAAATATCTCCAGGAACATTTTTAACACAGTATTTGGCGTTTACGTATTTAAGTCCTTTATTAATACCATTGAGTTCGTAGTTTAGTTTTAGGGAATTGACGCCTTTTTTGGAATAAAATAATTAATACTTAAATTATGTTCAATTTTCGAAAACCCCATTTCAAGGATTTTTCAATTAACGAACTTAATTTAATTTGCCTATAATGTTCAAGGCGGAAGAGCTGTAATAATTAACGTGTTAAATCATACGTATTCGAATTTAAATAGACAAATTTAATAGGCACAGCCGACTGTATAAACGGGTAATTTCTGTTTGCTTAAAAATACTTTGTCAACTTGTAATTGAATGTTTTATGATTTGATATTCCTAGATAATTAGTAAATAATATTTTATGAATTGATGTTATGATGCTACAAGCTGTGATCGGTTTCCGGGGTAAGAAGAGGAAATTTGCTGTCCATTTGCTGATGTTCAGTAGATTACAGATCGGATTAAAAGCAAATAAGTACATAGAGCACAGTTTTTATTGAGAAGCTGTTCTCAGCTAGTCAAGAAATTCTCCGACTTTTATGGGATCCGAAAGTTTATTACTCTTGATAAAAAGTTCACCACTGGACCCCACCAATAGCTTGAAAGTAAAAGTAAATGTATTTCTTGTAATTTTGTTATGTATTAGGAAACAAGAGGATTGAGTGTGTAAGAACTCGGAAGGAAACTTCTGTTACCTGTTTTGAGATACTGGTCTTATCTCTCATGATGCTTAATGATGCACATTGTACCACTTAAAATTCTGTGACCTCTTTAAAAATACAG